TCAAGTGATGGAGGTTGGGTCCATGGAGTGGTATTAGCCAGGGGGTAGGAGTGGTGTCCCTGCCCAAAGTTTGTGGAAGGCTGGAGAGGGCTGGCATGAGACAAATGGCTTGGTCACTGTCTTCGGTCCATCCCCTCCAGGGTCCCAGAGTGGCCACCAGGGAAAGCTGGGGAGGGCTAGCCTCGCACTAGTTCGAATTAAGGGGCTACACACCCCTTAATTCGAACTAGCTAGTTCGAACTAGGCTTAATCCTCGTAAAATGAGGTTTTCGTAGTTCGAACTAAGCGCTCCGCTAGTTCGAATTAAGTTCGAACTAGCGGAGCGCTAGTGTAGTGCCTTTGAAAGTTAGTTCGAACTAACTCTGTAGTGTAGACATACCCTTTCTGAGGTGCTAACAAACTTTTTCAAAGCAACAACAAAATATGTACTTACTCAGCTAATTAAAATATTGCATGTTTGGTTCATGTCCTTTAAAAACTAACTTGGAGCTAAGACCAAAAGTATTTCATCCTAAAGGAAGATACATAGCTGCCGCTATAATGATTACTACCTTCAAATGCTATAATATATGTATATACTAGCAGACTTACCCGGCATTGCCCAGGTCCTTCAGAATAAGGAGTTGGCGGAGTGGGGGGGTGCACAAGTCAGGGCAGGGTCTTGTATGTGTGGTGGTGGAGTACAGAAGCCTGTGGAGGATTGATGGGTTAGGAGGGGCTCAGGGTGTGTGTGTGTGTGTGTTGGGGGGTCCCATCAGGCATGGGCCTTTTCTCTCCCTCCAACCCATCCCTAGCTGCCAGGGGCATTTTCTCTCTCCCAGTCCCTCTCCAGCTTCTAAGGGTGTTTTCACTCTCCTGGGGGTGTTCTCTTTCCCCAGTCCTCCCTCCAGCCACCAAGAGCGTCTTCTGGCCCCCCCCTCTTCCCCCCCGGCTGCCAGGAGCACTTCCTCTCTCTCCCCAAACTCCCCAGCTGCCAGGGCATTTTCTCTTTCCCAGCCCCCCTGGCCTGCAGGGGTGTTTTTGCTCCCCCAGTTTCCCCTGGCTTGCCAGGAGCGTTCCCCTCCAGAGCCCCTTGGTTGCCAGGGTGTTTTCTCTCCCCCATCCTCCCCCCAGCTGCCAGGGGCCTTTTTTCCCCCAAACTCCCTCCTCCCCTCAGACATACCCTCTAGCCCCTCCTGCTCTGCAGCCAAAGTCTAGGGCTGGGAGCCAGTTACTTGGTGTGTTGGCAGGGAAGGTGGCAGAGCCCCAGCACTGCTAGCCACTCCCTTGGTGATATAGTTGTCCCCAGGGACACTCTGTAGGATAGCTTTCCCCTGCGGCCTGTCTGCCCCCAGTGGCCACTCTCATAGTGTGTCCGTTATGGAAAACTACCCTTTTCCCTGGGCTTCTGGTTGTCCTGACACAACCAAACACAGACCTAGCGTTAAGTTTGGAGAAAAGGAAGCTACCTACCAAATTTAGTGGTTCTAGCTCTTAGCATACTTGAACAAACTGACTCACAGACAGACACACAGACAGACACATTCTAACATATGTAGAGAGTGATGAGAAGATAGCAACAGTCAAAACATTTTTGGTTGCATTTGGGACTTGGGCAGGAAAAAATAGATGAACAAGAGCAATTTTAAATACCTATATTGAAGTCAAAGAAAGCTGCAGGGACATGTCAAGATTAGACTATCGTCTGTAGTGAGTTAACAAGCATTCACGTGGTGGTTTGGTGAGATGCATGGACTATTGTAGCACTCACATTTATAAAGGTTTAAAATAGCTAAATTCCTAGCTTAATTCTTAATTTAATTCAGTGGAATTAGGTTATTTTAGCACTACTGTAAGCATAGGCAGGATTTATTTCCCTGTTTTGTGTGGGTCTATAAGTCAAAATAGAGAACGTGACACTGATTTGGGTTATGTGTTTAGCCATAACCCCGAACCTGTATGAATTAGGAAGTCAGAATCATTAGTTGTTTCATAAAAATGACTGTGTATTAATGACAAATATAATATTCTCATGGTGTAATTATCGATTTTTCTCTAGCTTATGCAGAATTAACAACCTGGCTTTTAATTGTCTCTCAGACTAGGGAATGAAGAGTTCACATATTTTGTAAATTAAAATCAATATTTTCAATCTCTACTACAGGTAACTTTCTTAATTTAGTGGACTTTTCCCTAACATTTATTTTGCCTTTTAATTATAAAATGGCAGGTTATTGATTTTTGTGTATAACGTCTTCGAGTTCCAACTGCATATTTATTGCTAACATAGGGAG